ATTGGCTAATATAATTGATTTAAGGTTTGGACTCACTTGAGGGGAAAAAAAAGAATCTATTAAAATTTTTTTTTTTTTTTGAGTTTTCAGTGTTTGCTGTCTGTCAATCTGTGTTAGAATAAAATCTAAATCTCCCTCCATTTGGGTAAATCAAATGTATAAGGCATGCCCTTTACATATCCGTTTTGATTTACAGACTGGAGACTACAACACAGCTCAGATACAATACCCTACGTTATAGTCACCCAACTGAGTGACTGGGATTAATCTGAAAGTTCCTGTTTTCCCTTTGAGAAGTGAATCAACTTTTTAAATTAAACAATCATTAGACCAGAAGATAGCTGAGAAATAGACTGATAGAACATAGGTAGCCAAAAAATTTGGGATAGAATAATTCACGTTCATATTGCTGCCCTGAATTATATCTGATATTCAGTCTGAGCAATGAATTAGTAACAGTTCTAAAATGGGGAATCTCTCACATCTAAGATCATTGACTCAAGAAAACTTTACTGAGCTACATAAATATCTTCTTTTTTCTTACCATTGAGAATGCTTTGCTATCTACTGTTTCCAACCAGGTTGTTAAATTTCTTGAATCTATTTCATCTTACACAAATACTGTTGTATAAAGATTCACTTTTGCAAGACATTTCCTTTCAAAACTAAATTGTGAAATTTCTTTTGTATTCTGTGATTTTTTTCTTCTTCCTGTGGAAAATATCAAATACTTCTTTGAAGATTTTAGCAAAGCAAAAATCAATATTTATGTGTAACACTTAAAATGAGCAAAACAATAATGACAAAATCTGTAGAATAAAAGATGTTGTCTATTTCAAGCAGATTTTTTTGTTCCAGGAGGAGATGTAGATATTTCTCAGTTATCACATCTTGAATTTCAATAAGTAGAGCTAGAAATGACGACAAGCTGATTTAATGCAGAAGAAAACAAGTAAAGGTTTAGCTGTATTTTTAAAATTCACTCTAAATTAACTAACATAAATTTCTTTGAAAACTCAGATGTGCATATCTAGAATCAATCATCTACAGAAGTGGAAGAAATATAAAGCTTTTTAGTGTTGTAGTTTATATCTGAAGAGATAAAACAAACACACAAACTGTAGCATGTTTTCCTATTTATATACAGGACATCAGTGTCACTGGAAGTTGCAGAGCAAGAAAGCAGTACAGTCAGATTTTGTGTATTTAGTTAGCAGAAAGATCAATGTGCCTCATCTGCCTTCATAGTTTAACCCACAATAATCCAAGTGGTATAAACCATGCAGTACAGTTGCGGTTTAACTCTGGCAGGCTAAGTACTATACAGCTGTTAACTCTTCCCAGTGGGGGAGAAGAATTGGAAAGGTAAAAGTGAGAGAACTCATGGGTTGAGATAAAGACAGCTTACTAGCAAAAGCAAAAGCCACATATGCAATCAAAGCAAAACAAAGAATTTGTTACTTCCCATCAGCAGCCACTTCCAGAAGAGCAGGTTCATCATATATAACAATTTATTGGGAAGACAAACACGATCACCCTGAACTCCCCCTTCTCCTCAGCTTTTTTTGCTGAGCATGATGACACATGGTAAGGAATATTTGATCAGTTTGGGTCACCTGTCCCAGATGTGCTCCTTCCCTCCTTCTTAGGCACCCCCAGCCTCCTTGCTGGCAGGGCAGCATAAGAAGCAGAAAAGTCCTTGACAGCATGTAACCACTTCTCTACAACACCTAGAATATCAGTGTGCTATCACTGATATTTTCATCAAAAACGCCAAACACAGTAGCCTAAACAAAAAAAAATTAACTCAATTCCAGCAAAAAAAAGACAAGTACTGAGCAGAGAAAAACAACCAAACAAACCAAACCAAAACAAACAAACAAAAAAAGGTATTAATTATTTTTCTTAATGCAGCTCTCTAAAGTAATAAGGTAATCATTTCATACGTTTGCCCTTCTGTCTGCCTGTGTAGTATTAATTAGTTTTGGAAGAATTTACTAAATTCACCTTTACCAACTAATACCTGATTTTATTCAGCTGAAATAGCACATTCTGTGTATGTAGCTAATGCTAACAATAAGTGACACACTATTTAATTTTAGATGCAATGTAAGATACGTGTAGTTAATTACATTGTGGGAGTGCTATTCTCTTCAGTAATTACAAAAGAAGGCTAGATGTTAGATCTGACAGCTTATACAAGGCTAAAGTCAGGTTAGAAGGCTCCAATTCTAAATAAGGAGATAAAAATACATAAGGCACCTGCTCCATTCATGAAGCCATCCTTTCTCAGAAACTATAGAACACTAACACAACAAAATTTGAGCACCATGGTCTCAAAATCAGTACATTCATTTATTAAGGCAGTTGACATTTTGAGATGAGGGTACATGCCAAACTCGTTTTGCTAGTGACAGGTGGTATAACAAAAGGCAATGACCACAAGATGCAGCTTACAAGGTTCAGACCACAGACAAGGAAAAGCCTTTGCATTAGGAAAATAGTGAAGTGATAGACCAGACTGCCCAGAAAGGTTGTGGAACCCTTCACCTCAAAAGGCTTCAATATTTGGTTAGACAAAGCCACAGCTGACCTCATCTCATCTTGCTTCATGTGGGAAGTTGGAAGAGGTGACTCCAGAGGTCCCTTCCAGCCAACATCTCAATCGATCTACAGTCATTATTGAGTTTGGCCTAATTTTGTGTAGATATGTCTTATCTATAATATAAAGATAATATGCAAATAATAAATACAATATGAAAATATTGTATTTATGCTTTTTATGCTTCACAAGGGTTGATTTTACATTTTATGCAAATAACCAAAAAGAAAACACAAGGTACAAGAAACAAAGAGACATTCTGTCTACGTTTTTAGGATGATTTTCTGGACTTCTTGCAAAATCAGGGGAATAAGAGGAGAGGAGAGTTCAGTATCTGCTTCAGTAGTGTGTGTTGACAGTGCCAGGGGGACTGCAGGTATTTTCTTCACCAGTGTGAGTACTGAGTATCTTCTCAACAAGGTCACCTCTGTTGACTGGCAAAAAGAATAAGGGGTAGCTCTCACACTCACACATATCATCGTCTTCCGGGGTTCATTCTATCCCACCACATAAAGTTATTCTTACTTCTCATCAGCAATTCTGAGATCAACCAACCTGGAGAAGCTTTACTTCCTATAGATCTCGAGCTCAAGATGAGTACCCATGTAGATACACTGAGAGAAAAGAAAGACTGCTTCTTTGCTGAAGGCTTTCATCAGCATTTACAGTGCTCCTCACCTTAAAAAAAAACATTCTAGAGACTTGAAAAAAAAATCTATAAAAAATATTTTCAATTCTTTACCTACCTGTTGCAAGTTTTTGTTTTGTTTGTTTAAATTGGTTAGGAGACTCAAAGTAGGAAAAAAAATCTGACAGTCTTTAACACACACAAAAAAAGAACTAACATATTAGTTGTTTGCTTTCTTTTTCCACACCAATGTTATAGGTCTTTTTAAATACAGAATAAGTTCTTTTTGGTCATGTTTTCACTCATATTACAGCATTTTTTTGTCTTCCCATTCACAGATTCAGCCGTAGGCCTCCAGCCCCACAACTGTCACATCCACCCACGCAACTAGCTGATATTACTGTACAGTTCTTGTTCTTGCCATAAAGCTCTGTATCTCTCCCATCTCTTAACACACCACCCTTGATTCTCTAAATATTCTTCATGATTTCTCATTTATCCTATTTATTTCCTTACAATAGATTTTGGTTTTTAGTGCACTTTCATACTGTGTTGTACTTTCTTTTCAATATCATTATTAGACCAGACTTATGCACTGTTCACTGAATCTTGCTTCTCTATTCTTCTCCTCCTCATCTACCTTCACTGCCCAGCAGGAGAAGGGTATAGGAGCCATTTTCCTCCCCCAGACTTACCAGAGACTCAATACACCTCCCATTTCTCTCCTCCCTCTGCTAATGGCCAGGAAGTGAGACGAACAAGATTGACAGTCTCTGAAGCATGGAAAGTGCCATCTGTGCTTTGTAGATTGAAAATCTTATTAGTCTCACTTCCAGCCAAGTGGAGCACGCGGAACAGAGCAACCAGGGTAAGGAAAAGTGCAGCTAGGGGGAAGGGGACAACCAGGAGGGAACAAAGGCAGTCCCTAGGTTAAAATGCAAATAATGGAGACAATACAAGAAGATAAAGCAGCAGGTAGAGAGAAGGCTTACTATCCCACTTCATCCTTCCACCTTGCTGCCAGTTTTTCCACAACACATACCCTAAGATAATGCCTAGTCTAGATGTACAAATATAATTAGGTGTTGAAGTCTCACTACAGACTGATAGTACCTTCCTGACCAAGTGACCAATAAAAAATTCTTGCTGTTTTTTGAGGGGTATTATGGCCATAACAGGCATCTCAAGTTTTATTCTTCTGTGTGTATAATATTCCATGATGGAAAAGATGGGCATCTGGAAACCTAACTGTTCCCCAGGGCTGTCAGCAGGCACTATTTCCTGCCTCTCTGCTTAGGACCTTCCATCTTGGGGTATGGCTGAGATGATGTCCAAACAGGATAAGGCTCCTGCTGTAGACACATTTTATGCAGGAACCTAGTTCTAAGACAACTCAGGTAGGAAAATAAAACATGCCTCTGTGCCTCATGGGACAACACCTAGGTATCTCAAGAGATTGCAGGGAACACCAGCCTTCTTCATTGTGTCCCTGCCTTACTTCTACAACAGCATGTCTTGAGTTTAGCTGCCTGCCTGTTATAAGTTCAGTTTCCGCCTGTGTCTACACATGGCTGCCTTTTTGGCATGAAATGTATTCATGTTTCCCTTAAAGTTTTGCAATACCAGTGACCAAATTCTTTCAGCACTCCAGTCATACTGCTTTTTACTAGTGTAAGTATGAATGTACAGATTCCCACTTAGGTGATCTCTCTCTGCATGAGGCACAGCAGCAGCAGCACATCGCTCCCACCAAACCTTTTCCCTGCCTACCTGCCTTGAAGGCATCTCAGAAGCACACAGAAGCAGGGCAGGAGTCATCAGGACACAATGTGCCCTGGCTGTACATACACTGACAGACTCTTCAGCAGCCTATTGCCAGCTGGTGCATCAGCCCCACAGCCATCATAATTTTTGCAGAGGCTGGAAGCATACTGAAGAATTAGGAAGGCCATAATCCAAATGCAGTAGCTGAAAAAAAAAAAAAAAAGATCAGTATTAAAGATGGAACCAGGCTGTTCTGTGGTAAAATTGAATTTCCCCCCAAAGTCCTATCTTTCTCTGTATATTTCTTATGGGCTTATAACTGTCATCACAATTATGTTTCCACTGCTTTGCAATGCATATGCTAATAGTGTCTCTGCAAGCATACCTGATAATTCTAGTAGAGCCTTGAAGCCTCAGACTGTATTTATATATTCATTCTCATTTATATTTTTCCCTTAATCCTTATATTTCTTTTCTGTATTCTTTTCTTAAAAGTCAAACAAAACTGCAGAATTTTTAAGTCTTACATCCTTCTTTTTCTTTCCTTGTCTTTAAAATGAATGCATGAAAGAAAAACACAGAGAAATGAGTATCTTCTGTCTTGGAAGCTTCAAGTACAATGTCAGTGTTTATACAACTCCCCCCACCCACTCTCCAAGCTCAACATCTATCTAGTAGGCAACATCTCTACAGCCTGGTGGAGGAAAATGGCAAGGGCAGTTGAACATTATGTGGATCAGCAACAAAGATGCTAACAACTAGTGCCTCAATAATTTGTTAGATTCGCAGACTGAAGACAGCACCATTGATGCAGGGTACCCTACAGAGCATGACAATAGCATGCTCTGCTTCACTTCAGTCTGAAGAACCTTATAAACCAAATATCATAAAAGTTTACAGTGTCATTAAGAAAGATAAAGAACATGGCTGCTGAGGCAGGGAACAGCCCTCTTTCAGGCCCAAGGAATTTATCTTCAATTTTGTTGACTGGAATGTTGCACATGAGATTTTTTTCTTCAAGTGCGATCTCACAATCATCTACAACAAGAGCAAATCAGCCTTTCTATCATTTAGTCTCTGTTTTCCACTTCATCCCTTGTACTCTTTGTTGTTTTTACAAACCCATTTTAAATTGTATGTGCTGAGAACAATCTCATACCTTTATTATTTGTAACCTCGATAGCAAATCAGCTTCAAGCCCCAACAGGAAGATAGGATCACCAAATGTCAGAGATCATCTGTGTACTGCAGGACTCCCCAAATCAGCAATATGTTTTGTATCCTCTACACTGCATCTCATTAAGGAGCTTCTTGGGGATTCTGGCATTCCCTGAGAGACTTGGTATTGTGTGAGAACATCCTGTTGATGAAGCCATAAATCAGAAGAGACCTGAAGGATAAGGTAAGTATCTGTGATTCATCACCAACAGTATAAGGTGTAAGAGTTTATCTCTGGCAGTGCAAGAGTTTTAGGTGCATCCACAGATTAGAAGATGTTTCTAAACAGGCTTCTGAAACCTTGTCTGAAATATGTAGGGAGAAATGCAAATATATGTTACCTTATTTTGTCCTTACTACATGCTTGACACTTGCAAAGTGGCTGTGATTCAGAAACTGCACTGTGGGTTTGTGTAACCTTATTGCAAAGCAGGGCACCATGCTGACCAAATGCAGTACAGGACACAATACCACAGTACATATGACCATAGCTGGACATTTACAGTCAGTTCAGCATGCTGGGCAAAATATGTGTATTTGACTGCACTTATCCATGCAGACACACCTTCAAGTGCGTAGATCCTACCAAATTACAATTTAGAAATGATTTAAGAGAGCCTGAATCAAGCTTAGAGTAATAATCATCACTGCTGTGATTAATGAGAACCCAGTGTTTTAGAAACTGGCAGTATTCAATCACCAATCAAAATTGCATCAGGCATTTATTCCTGTGAATACAAATACATGGATGCCTGGCTTCACAGCTGGTGCAGATTGGCTTAGCACCATTGACTTCATGTAAATAGGCTTTAACTAGGCCATCTGAGGAACTGGCTCTGAAATCTCTGGCTTACCCAAAATGTAGGCCCTGTTTCACCTGGAGAGGAAGCAAAAGCCATCTAGGTTTAAGATAAGTATAAATTTAAAAAAAAAAAAAAAAAAAGGTGGAGAATATTTTTAATTTTTAAATCATTTTGGCTATTTTAATGTGTGGCATGCTATGAAGTCTACCATAGGAATACACACCCCAGTACACAAGTTTCCAAAAGGTTTTCCTATTACTCCCTGTATGTTTCTTTGTGTAAGCATCAGCTGCAAAAAAACATGCAATATAAAAAAGATGCTTTTGAGCACATGTTGTTCAAAGCTCAGTTCTTATTTGATTATTGTGTTTTTAGTGGTAAATCTTTGAAATAAAGCTTACCTTGCCACCAGCTCCCCTCACTTTCAAAAGGAAAATGAATGCCTAAGGCAGAAACCCCACCCAAATGTAAAGGACAGCATCCTTCTTCCAGGGAACCCTGGGGAGTTGGTACCTCTTCTCTCCATTGGGAAATGTTTCCTTTCATTTTTCCACCCACCAAGACAATGCAGACATTATACTGATGTGCAGCAGGTGCTATTTGGAAGAGAAATAAATTGTGACTTTTCCTCTGAGGGGATAAGACAGAATGCTCTTGGGGGCTAGAACTCTTCCTTTCCAGAGACCAAGGGGACCACAGCTGTGCTTCAATGGGGACTGTAAGCTGAGTGGGTGGTTGAAGACTTTTTTTCTTGTGCCTTTTGTAACAACATCCACAAACAGCACAGAGTACATCATCCTTGTTAAATAGTTATAACCAGTGATAAAAAAAATGGCAGCATCTATTTCTTTCTCTTTAATTTTCAGAAATAGTAAATACTGTTATGTTTAACCATGAAGCAGCTAAAGCCTGTAATTCCTTTTCCCACCTGCCATCTGTCTTTTCTTCTGTCAATCCTCTTCCCTTCTCCTCAACCCATCACTACAGGCAGTGCTGTTTTGCAGGTAGCTCAGAAGCTTTGAAGTTTTCCATCAGAAAGCTGATTATACAAACATTAGTATATCTGCAGCTTTAAAGCAGGTGGATCATCTTAGAGTATTTTACTAATTTTTCAGAAGGTTTTATACTGTTCCCTTTTCAGTGGGGATTTTTTCTGAGATTATAAAGAAAGGAAAAAAAAAAAAAAAAAAGATGTGTCCAGAAGGAAAGTTAGACTGACAATAAAAGCTTTTTTGATGCAAGTGGTATACTGTGACAGGATGTCATATTCAGATCTAGACTGCACCTATGCATTTGCTATAAATACCAATTGTGCTAATGTTTTGAATAGCAAGTAATTGAAGGTTTTTTTTCACCTATTGTGCTTAGAAGAATAGCAATGTGAATAAAATTTCTTAAAAGATTTTATCAATTTCTTGAAGGAAATAACAATGTGAATAACTTCCCTTGAAAAAGATTTAGGAAGTAGACAAGGATTTTTTATTGGTGTGTTGGATGGGATAAATTGTTATGTTTTGCTTTTTTTTTTTTAATGGAAATATCCTTTTAGTTACACTTCCCTATGTCAGGATGATGCCTGTTTTGTTGTGGGGAGTGTGGTTCTGAAAGTAATGTTATTCGCAAACTACACGGACAATTTTAATGAATAATATATTTTGAAATAGTTATCTTTACCTCCATCTTTTCTAATGTGTTTGAAAGCTTCTGCCAACCCTCATGCTTATTGTTTCCTAGAAGGATTATAATATATTGGGAAGATACTATATATATGAAGATACATTTAAAATACTTTTATCAAAAGCTCTCTGGTTTATTAAATTAGTCTTTATGGAGGAAATCAAACCATACAATAAATGGCAACACCATGTAAAACAAACACACCAAATATCCAAAACTGTAAAGACAACTAAAACTGATTGCTCTCCTGCTTTACTAAGGCCTAATAACGTCTGAGATCACATGTCATAAACAAGGCAGTAGTCTTGTTTGACGAACTGATGAAGCCAGATCCTCAGAAGCATCCAGATACCCGAAAGTCACTGATACCAAGAGGAGTCAGATGCTTAATTTCCACTTGAGTTTGTGCATCACTCACGTTTAAGCCCAAGATACATATCACCTTTTACTTTAACTGCCAATTCAGTTCTCCAGCTAATGCAAAGCACAGTCCAAGATGCGGTGACTGACATGTACAAGTCACAGCACCAAATTCTCTGACAGAAAAATAGCCAGGTGGCTTTCAAATGGAAAAGGGCAAAAATCAGTTGGTATAGCTGCTATGTTGCAAACACAAAACCAACTAAAAGTCTGGAGCCTCCAATTTTGTTCCAAGATCATAACAAACTATTACTTAAAGAATTTATTCCACTTGTTATGTTTTATTTTACATAAGTAGAAGTCAGTATAGTGACTACCATCAGCCTTTCATATATGGCAGTAATCATACCTTTCTACATTTGTTGAGTGGTCTACTGATGACATCAAACAATGTACTGGAGATGATTATAAACTAGATTTTTTCTGTTCAGGGAGAAGATAAAAATAATGTAGATAAAAGGAACATATCTTTTATAAGACAGAACTCAAGTAATTTGAGGGGGAAATCCATAAAAATATCACAAGTGTTGTTGAAATGATGAGTCACTTCAGCAGCATAAAAATAATCTATTTATCTACATTTTTACTGAAGGCTTTGAAGTTATGTATCTTGGAAAATAATATATATATATATTAAAGTGCTTTGAAAAAAGTTCAGTTTTATTTTGAGATGTGAGCCCTTTCTTGCATGTATTTTCCCTACTTCCATGCATGTCTATTTAGCTTTATATTTTACAGCTATTTTTTGCTACCTCTAGCATATACATATAAATATGTATGTGTTTTTGTGTTAAAAAATAGTAATATTGTAAGCAACAGTTTAGACCATGTGGCTCTTAATTACATTGTTTAAGATACATGCTCAGGTCTTGTAGGTGTTAATTCATAAAGCTCAGAGACCAACCAGAATTTAACCCAAACCAATCACTGATTTCTCCTGGTAGTATAATGACTTTATTTATTTATTTATTTATTTATTATTATTCTTTCTCATTTCTAATAGTCTATTTCACTCAAAGCTCATATATCTATATCCAGTTTTTCTGTTGTAATTTTCAGCCATATATCTTCATATAAACTGTTATCTTCAAAAAGAAACCTCATTCTCAACTCAGAAACGGGGTCACTGAGGTGAAAACCTTGAAAACAACTTGCAGCTCGCTAAGTTAGTTACTTGGAAAACCGTGGATAGGATGCACACCTACTAAGTCCAGGTAAGCATTTTCAATCATTGGCAACAAATACTCAAATCTATGCAAGAAGTTGATTTAAACAGGATACTAAGGTAATATCCCAAGTCCATTTTACAGTCAACTAGAAAATAAGTTCAAACGCCATAAAAAAACAGGATTTGGGAAATCTGTTTATGTGTGCATACTTCTTTAATTCTTCACTGTATAGTGCTATTTTAAATCTGTTATTTCTGAAAGCAGACAAAGCAGAAGAAATAGTTTTGCAATACTTGGCCTATATCATGCATTCATAACACTATCTTTAAAGTACCTTGATTTGTGGATAAATTCTGGCTGCTGTCTCCTCTGAGCTCTTCTGACTTTAAGTAGTATAATTTTATGCTAAGGTTTAGTGACACCACAACTGTATTGTGTAAATTTGTTCATTATGTCATTTAAACTTTGAATTTCTGTTGCAGACTGTAGGGGGGGAGAGCTTTTATCCATGTTGCAATCCACATACCAATATAAAAGGAAAATAGACACCATCCCTAGAAGACCAGATGTTTTCGTTAAACATTAGATGTGTAAATGTACACAATGTACACATTAATCTTTTTTTTTTTTTCCCCATTTATAATTCACCTTACAATTTTCAATTTAATTAGATATGGATTTTCTATTCTAGTTAGGTCTCTCTCTAGATAGGTGTACTAAGTAGACTCATAATCTTTTGATTCTCTCCTTCCATTTACCTCTTAAAAAGACCTCATTCTGAAGCCTAATTTAGAAAAATGCAAATTTTATTCTCTTTCCACATACAAAAAGGGATTGAGAGGTGTTGAGATATGCTGCTCTGCTAAATATTTGAGGTCTCTAAGAAAATAGAAATATTAGACAGTAAGCCTCCTGAAGCAAATTACAATGGGAAGATGAAATTATATCCATGAATTGGGAAGAGGATTTATGTAAGAATGATCCTTAATAAGGTAGAACAGACATTGTCCAACCTTCTAAAGAAGCATTTGTGTCTGCGTGCGAGACTAAAGGATAAAAAAACAACTCTGAGCCAATGCTCTGCCCCGCAAATTTTAAGCAAT